CAAAAGAAAGCAACCAGGATAATGCCNAGTGGGAGAGAAATAGAGAGAGTGGGAGAGAGAGAGAAAAAGAAAGAGAGAGAAAAAAGAGAGAGAGAAAGAGAGAGAGAGAAAGAGAGAGAGAGAAAGAGAGAGAGAGAGTGGGAGAAACATAGAAAGAGTGGGAGAGAAATAGAGAGAGTGGGAGAGAGAGAGAAAAAAAAGAAAGAGAGAGAGAAAAGAGAGAGAGAGAGAGAGAGAGAGAGAGAGAGAGAGAGAGAGAGAGAGAATAAGCCTGCCTAGAATAATTTTTTATTGACGATTTTCTTACTTTAATTCCAAGCTTTAAACTTAAAAAACATATTAGTTTAAAAAAATTCTGAGCTTATAAAATTAATAATTATTTCGTTATCTAGTTAATGTTTTGTAAATCGTAATGTCAAATTAATTTTGAACAGGTCGAGACTGGATCACTTGAATAGTTCCGCCGTAAAGCAGAAACGCCCAGAGAGAGCAGGGAACCAGCGAGAGTACACGGACCCGATGAAGTTATCAAGTTAGATAAAACATGTGGTCACCGACGATTTGCGCATAAAAATTTATAAACTATTTGAGGTTATTAATGTCGAGATTACATTAAACATATTGATGATAGTCGGTTTCTAACATATCAAGTCATTGATAAGAGCTAAGAGGATTTATAATCACAAAGCATTCCGCTAAAAAACTAACTTGCTGAAAAGATCCGTATCAAAAACTACACAAAGTCTAAAAAGTTTTGCCGACAGTTTAAACGAAAGCTATAAACTTCGATAGAATCAAGTCTTAGCAGTTTGATTATTTTTACTGTTACTACGTTGGACGTTTTCAAAATTTTCCGAAATTTTTTTTATTGTGCGATTTGAAGGTGCGCATAAATTCCAATTCGGTCGATTTCAATGGTTCGCTTTGATAATCCAAATCGCTATCGCAAATCGCGCTGAGCAACCACGCGCTAATCTTGGCCTACCGGGTCTGATTATGAGATTAATTCGTCGAGGTTTGTTTTGTGCGAAATTCAACACGGGCAGATTTTTTTGGGCGTGAAATCGGTTAGAAATTTGGCATTTAGATTACTGGATCGGAGTCGTTGCGCCGATATCAACGAAACTACTTGCAAAACGCATAATTATTTTTATTTGGATTTAAGTAACAAGGTCAAACCACGGATGTGAAATCAGATTTGTACTGAAACTTTTTTGGTGATAGTCGAAAATATAGCTACATGCCCTTCTTCTTAAAAAAGAAAAGTTCTTAAGAATGTGGGGATCAGCAGTCCCATAAGCATTGAAAATAATTTGTTCAATTGTCTCTGGTAATGTTAAAAGCATATTAAAAGGACACGATTAACAAAACAACAACTAGCTGGACCAACCATTCAATATACAAAAACGCTTAAATTTGTCTCACAGTCCATCTTGCAGAATCCACCAACCTATCTTATAAGAAGTTAATCGAGAGACAACCATCTCTTCAGGGTTCTTTCGCTCACAGGAAGCCGTACCCTGGAATCGTTCAAAAACATTTTTGTAAAATCTGTGTGCCCTACGAAAAGGATGCGGTAGGTATAGGTCAGTGGGCTTAGTACACATAGCCAAATGTTGCTTCTTGCTGACTTTGGTAATCTATCAAGCCTGATAACTATGTTTTTGTATAAATAATGTTAAGATTTACGTGTAGTGTGTGGGTCCGGACACATTTTACACATTCATTTTAATGAAACATTTTCGGTGATACTAGATCGAAAAATGTTAGACGCATCGCACACCCATAAGAAAAGTGGTACAAGTCCAAAAATTATAAAAACCGTATTATTTTTTGTTTTTTTTAAAGTATTCGAGTGAGTGATGTTACAGGAAAAATGACACAACTGTAGGTGGGATCAGCAGCTAGGCAGCACCATTTGCCATTTTGAATTGGCAGAAACGCACTGTCTACATTCACGAAAAGTGACATATCTTAGTTCTATGTCGACCTTTATAGTATCGGTTTGGGTATTTATCTGGAAAAAGTGACACAGTTAACTACTGACGACAATTCACTATGGACTGCTACAAGAAAAATCCTCAAATGTAAAAACACATCTCTTCCTCTCCAACGGGCAGATGGAACTTGGGCCAAATCCGAAGAGGACAAAGCCCAACTCCTAGCCCAACACCTCTGCTGTATTCAATCCACACCCAGACATCCAAGACCTCCACCATTCTGAAAAAATCCTTAACGAACTTGACGAACCATTGCCTCTCTTCCTCCATCCAAAACCTTTCTCTCCTAATGGAGTCAAGCAGGCCACCCTAAACCTTTCCAAAAAGAAATGCCCAATCACGCCCATCATCCTATCCCAACTACCTAAAAAAAGCCATTATCTTCACTACCTACCTATTCAACGCTGTCCTACGTACAACCCATTTCCCCACCTGTTGGAAATTTTCTTCCATCAGGATGCTCCCAAAACCTAAGAAACCAAATCACCTTCCTATCTCCTACCGACCCCATTATTGGCAAAATACTGGAAAAACTCCTATTGATCCGCTTGTCCAAGGAAATTCCAAAAAACACAATTCCCCATCACCAATTCGGCTTTCGGAGTTGCCACTCAACTGTACAATAAGCACATCGCATAATCGACATTATTTCCACAGACCTTGAGCTAAAACAGTATTGCCCGGGTGTGTTCTTGCCACACCAAGCCTATGACCGAGTAAAGCACTTTGGGCTGCTGTGGAAGCTCAAGAACATCCTACCAGCAACCTATTACCTTATCCTAAAATCCTATCTTAACGATCGTTACTTCCAAGTACCCCACAAAAATTCATTGTCTCCTATCCATCCTATTCCAGCAGGTGTCCCACAGGGCAGCGTGCTCACTCCTTTCCTTTATTCAATTTATACCTCCGACCTACCTACGCAACCTAACACACCTTCACCTGTGCCGATGATACCTCAATCCTTCCTCCTGATAAAGATCCTGTCACAGCTTCCCGTAATCTTCAAAATCACCTAAACATCCTAGAATGCTGGCTCCGGCGGTGGAGAATCAAGATCAACGAAACCAAATCAACAAACATAACATTTACGCTAAACAAGAAAACACTCCCACCAGTATACCTCAACAACGTTCCCATCCCAATTGCGAACTATGTACGATACCTCGGACTCTACCTGGACAAATGTCTGACGTGGAACTCTCATACACGACTTAAGCGCACAGACTGTAACATACGATTATTCATGCTTAAACTCGACAGACGATCAAAACTCTCACTAACAAACAAAAGAAAATTTTACATTGCCCTCCAGGCCCCCATTTGGACATACGACTTGAAATTTATGGGACTGCTAAGCGTTCCTACCTCAATCGAATCCAATCCCTTCAATCCAAAATCTCAGAGCAATAGTCAACGCCTCTTTCTATGTATCCAATCACGATCCATACCGACCTAAATATCCCTTTTGTTACCGAGCTAGCCCAATCACGCTACAAAACGTTCCATTCCAAACTACCCCATCATCCGAACCCTTTCGTCAAAAACCTGTCATCCACCACATTACCTAATAATCCCAACAGAAGACTGAAGCGTCGGTGGCCCCGCGCTTAACAGTTGACATCTCCTACGACAGAGTACATCTCGCTCATCGTATTGATTTATTAACGGCTTCCATCACTGGATGGTAACTTTTCAAGCTTTCATGCTACCGTTAAAATGTTTATATGTAAATATTATCTGTTTTACTTGTTGCGTCGAAGAATGTAGTTGTAAAAAACAAATAAAAAGTAAAAAAAGTATTATAGTTATGTACATTATTTACAGGTTCATAATTTCTTACATTTTTCTTTATAAGATTTAAATATATATACAAGTTTATCACAGTTAATATGTTGTTTACACTAAATGATATTCTACAAGACTCACATTTTGCCATGTACAACCTTATTCTTAAAATACGTTTTTGGACTAAAAGTACATCTTTTATAAGACGGCTGTTTCCCCAAATTAGTAAGCACATGATACCTTGAAATAGTGAGAAGTAGATTACTCTCCTAACTTCAAGGGAGACCGCATCCCTGATCGTTAAATTAGGAAACAAACTGAAGACAACTTTTTGTTTCGTTTACATGTACATACCATGTGAGGCTATCAATCCACACACCTAGAACTTTACATTTTTCAGTGTTTGGTATTTTTTACGATTTAGAGATACTATCATGGCATTCGATTTTTGAGCATTCATTGCCGTATAGTTGCTTGTAAACCAAAGTCATGTTGCCCAGTGTGGAATTTGTAACAGAAATCATACAGTCAATACTGCTTGCAGAGACCACAAATGGCGAGTCATCTGCAAACTGGAAGAAGGCAACTTTCATGTTCTGGAGGGATACACTTCTTCAGATCATTAACATACACAATAAACCGAAGTGGTCCAATTTATGAACCCTGCGGCATTCCATGCTCAACTGTGACTCCATAGATGTCCCGTTTTTCCATTTCACGCATTGTGTACGGTATGACAGGTACGCTCTGCTATAATCAAGAGCTATTCCCCTACGCCATTTGCTTCTAGTTTTCCAAAAAGCGAGACATGGTTTACAGTATTAAATGCTTTGCTTAGATCTGTGATTACTTATTGGACTAAATTTTTCTTTTCTAACATTTATAAACTATGATTCAAGGCAATGAAGTCCAAGACTTTTAATTTGTTTTATAAGGAAAAAGAGGTGATGTGGTTATGAAACACTTATAGAAAGGCTTCGACAATCTAGCCAAAGGGTTAAACGTTTAAGGAATCGGACAATGAACTAAATCTGACTTTCTAAGTCGTTGCCGGCCATGATTTGCAACAATGCTGGCGATAAATAAAACCCAAGAAGAATAAAGTCTGCAACCCAGGCGAGGAAGGACATAAAGTCTAATTAGACTGGCTTGCATTTATCGCCCTTGATTGGAAAATATTGGGTTGTTTTTTCCGCCAGCTTGTTAATTCAGTTCATCTGTTCTACAACTGATTAAATAGGAGGATTGTTTGTTTTTGTTTTTTATTTTGACGAAAATTTCCTTTTATTTCTCGCTTCGAACCGAGATGTTTAAGCCCGAACTGACTGTCGACGACCTGAGGGTAATTATACACGCGAGCCTCGTCTGCAGTGCTTCTGTAAAATTCGACTCGGTTCCAGGCTTTCGTGGAAAAACCGATCTACACGACAGAAAAGGACAATGTATCAACTCTCGAACAAATCCTTAACGAGGACGAAGGAGAAAATGAAATTTACCCTGGGATACCAGGATTGGGTCAGTTCCTGCCAGTTACGCCTGTGAGTGAAATCAAACTAATTATTTTTTAAATTGTCAAATTTTATTGTAAATAAAGCTATCGTCCTAAGGCGATGAGATTATTCTTGCGATCCAATAACCAAGATATTTTTTTTTACAAATTATTTAAGTAAATCATGTCTTTTGTGGTAACCGAAACAAGATTCACAGTGTATTACTTATGAAGATGAAGACGAATTAGAAGAGGAGGAGGAAGAGGAAGGGCTGCCGGAAGAACTTAAATCGGAAACAAAGAGTAAAACATCATGTAAACTCAGGGTGAGGTTTTGTAGTGAAAGCCGAAGCGCAAAAATTAAAAAATTTAACAATTTTTTTCAGATGAGCGAAGCCGCCGAACAAGACGGAGAGACGCAGAAGATCAACGTCCACCTCCCGGTGAGTAATAGAAATTCGGATATATCGTCAATGACCTTTCGAGTGATGAAACGCTTCGGCTGGAATTGCTCTTAGTACTTCCCTTGACCCGGTCGGACGCCTACGCCACGGTGAAAGCAGCGGGATCGATTCGTAGGAAAAAAAATACAACGCCTCCGGTTATCATATCCCGGGGTAGATCCCGTTGCAGCCCCTTTCAGCATAAAGCGTAAAGATAACCCGGCGTTGTCTCCCGTGCCGGCCTTTGTTTATCGGCCAGCCTAGATCCAGCACGACAAAAACCAGTCCTCGGCTATCAAAAATCTTGCTGAAAATATGGCCCTGGAATTTAAGAAGTGAAAAATGGGAAGCCTTCCGCTTCTTGCACTCTCTCTGGCTTTCACACAAACAAAAACCTTTTATCAAACCAGGATCCAAAAATGTTTCCTTGTTGTTTGTAGCCAGAAGCGTTTCGTACACTCCATCATAATTTCAAATTATGAGATGACAATTGATAAAAGATCACAATCATTTAGTACATTTAGCCTTGTACGAAAAAAATGTAAATAACTGACCATACGTAATAAAACAAGTTAATTAAATTCTGGCACAAAATTATGTTTACACCAATAACCGAAAACCAATAACCAATTTAGTCTTGCAGCAAACAAAGTCACAACAAATAAATGAACACAAATAGAGCAAGCAACAAGCAATTAAACTCTTCTAGCAAATAGAGACTTTTACTTAGCCTCCCTCCCTCTTACTCACTCTCTCTCCTCTCTCATATTGATCTATCTCTCGCTCAAAGATGTTGTTTGTAAGAGGGGTCAAATTATATAAAATTCTGCGACTGTAAATAAAATTCACTCACTCTCTCTCTCTCTCTTTCTCCCTCTCTCTCTCTCTTCTCTCTCGCTCTCTCTCTCTCTCTCTCTCTCTCTCTCTCTCTCTCTCTCTCTCTCGCCATAAGACGTTGGATGTAAGAGGGGTCAAATTCTGCTACTGTAAATAAAGCTTTTTTTCTTCATTCTCTCTTTCTTGCACTTTCTGTCTGTCTGTCTCTGTCTGTCTGTCTGTCTCTCTCTCTCTCCCCTGTTTGTCTCTCTCTCTCTCCTCTTTCTCTATCTCTCTCTTTTTTCTCTCTTTCTATCTCTCTCCCTCCTCTTTCTCTCTCGCTGTAAGACATTAGATGTACGAAGGGTCAAATTAGGTCAAATTTTGTTGCTTTCAATAAAGCCTTATTTACTTATCCATCCCCCCCCCCCCCCCCCCCACACACACACACACACACACACACACACACACACACACACACACACACACACACACACACACACACGCGCACACACCTATCTGTCCTAATGAATACATTAGATATGAAGTAGGTATGATGTAGAATTTAAAAAGCACAATCATTCAACAAATACTCACATACACCCAAACAAATAATTGAGCGCATACAGAGAAAACAAACAAACAAACTAGCGAGTACACACAGGTAAACGCTCAATTCACATCCGCGCGCGAACATACACACACGCGCAACAAAAGTAATTACTTGGAACATGGAAGCGAAGCGTAATAATACCATTAAATTTGATGATGGATGTTGGGTTGCACTTAGATGATGGCGCAAAGCCGAAACCCGTTTGTGTAATATCATAAACACGCGAGTATAGACGGACTCAGGTTTAACATTGCTTCAACGATGAGAAGCGATCAAAAATTTACGGAGAAATCCAAGATCGCTACTGCTTCGAATATAAAAGAGTACAGGACTATTATCCGAGCTACGTGCATTATAGTATTGGGAGCATCCTTTTGTTCTGAAAGAGCTAGCAGAAATGTTTCAGATTATCGATGGTAAAAATCATGGTAGGAGTTCGACTTGTCAAAACACTCGTACACATCAAATAAAAACAGTACATATAAAACATCGTCGGGAATAAAATAGAAACTAAGATCGGATCTGCTATGGTAGTATTTGTCCAAGAAATATAACAACCAGTGGCCGTATATTTAAAAAGAAGTGAGACTCTCTAAAGACTGCTCAAATAATCAAGCGGAAATGTTGGCCATCCAGAAAACCGTCGAGTGGTTGTTGCAATTGAACGAACAGTGCAATACCAGAAAAAGTGCACTGATCTGGAAGAACAGCAATGCATCCTTATCAACTATAAAGGATCAACGAAATCGCCTACCGCGACGAAACGAATCTTCATGGTGCTAATCAAACCGCGTAAGCACACTGGCACCATGTAACGCATAAGTAATAATAAAATTCCACCATGCGCAATTGGTGCCCAAACAGCGAAACAGGTGGCTATACAAGAAGATTCTTTCTTACCGTAAATTTATGATTGATGATTAATTGCATCGTTAATACCCTACACTGAGAGTGACCAAAGGTTCAGGACCTGAAAATATGTGCGAAGAAATCGTTAGCACAGTAGTAAATAGTACAACTCAAAATATGAACAATCTCGCAAAGAATTATTAAGCTTGGGAAATCGGCCGAAGAATGTGTCTGGGGCAAATATTAGAAACATTGATGATTAAAAAATTTGTCCGCTAGAAACTAGAAATACTCAGAAAAAATCAGTACCAAGTTTCAAAAGTGCCTCTGGATATAATTAAACACCAAAAAATTAAAACCAGATTTGTAAGGCAATTATTGATTTACAAAAATCAGAATGGACTATTTCCAATCAGTCGATATAGTCTGAAACGAATTTCCGAAACACCTTGCTAAGGAAGGCAGAAGAATAAGCTGTCCAAGTTATGTCCTGGGTCTTTTCTTGGGAGAACCTAAACAGAGATTCTTTTCAATTGATGAATTATGTATGAACGCTACTTTTGGAGCCGTAACAACCAAAAAATTATCGAACGTCAGCTCGTCATTTTAGGCCACGGAAAAAACTCTCGTACCAATATTGATTCGTGCATGCAGCAGATCTAAAGAGACCATGTGACGAAATGCAAAATGGAAAAATTTTAATTTACGATAGTAAGCAGTGGAGACGATGGAAAGCAAACTACGAGAAAGGCATTTTTGGACGGGTTTTCTATTCAAATTTTTATAGTTGTCTGGTACAAAACAAATCTGATATTGTTGAAACCAAATTAACGTAATCCGATCAAAATCATAAGATTTTAATAACTAATGTAATCAGCAAGGTAGCTACCAAAACGAACTCAACATCAAACAAATAATATTCAAAATATATATACATAAACACATCAAAGCAAATCAATAATGAAGCAAAAGCACATACATAAAATCAACCTCGATAACAGACATATTCTTTGTTGAAATTAGATCCGACAAATCCTTTGAGAAAAAGGTTAAAAGGCTAAAATAAAACAATAACCTCAAAAATGTATAGTAGATCTTTTCTCTGATTTCTTGTTTTTTCGTAATATCTTGTCAATTAATTAGCATATTTTCTTCTGCAAATTAGGGTAATTTACTTTTACTCTCTTTTCTGTCTATATTCTATGACTTGATTAGAATAAACTGAATAATTGTTTAAAAAATCGTACAATTTGAAATGCTAAAGTAATTCATCAAAGGATGCTACTTTTAGAGTTTTTCTAGGACAAAGTTGACCTTTTCCTTTTGTCCCAGGCGAACCTGTTGTTGTTCAACAAACGTGGCACACTTTCCCAACGCGAGAAAACGCTATTTCGGTACTTCAGGAGGAGGAGGATAATCGACCTGTTCAAATTTATGATGAATCACTTACTTGCGAATGAGCCAGGTAATCTAGCATAAAAGTATGTCAGAGAAAAGTAAATTATTGTCGTAAGTTGTGTTAAAATATTTTTTATGGGTTCCTCTTGAAGCTGTGATATGTTACACGAAAATATGGCGATTAAACGGGCGATTTAGCGTAATGAGCGCAGACCTATCTTCACGAACTTGATTTCACATCTTTCACGGATTTCTCGTCACTCGTCAAAACCTCAGACATGAATGATATCAGTCGTTTAGAAAAAGGCCGAATTTTGAAGCGTAAGGCGCTCGAAAGGACAGAGTTCGCACCGTGGGTTATGATAAATGTGCCGCTTTCTCCAATGATGGATCGTCAAGAAAATATATCGCCTATTTACGATTTTCCAGGGGGATAATTCCATTTCGCCAGTTAAAGACTTGAAAGTTTATCATTTGTCCTGAGTTATGTAAAACCAAAAAGACATATATTTTGAATTTTCTAGATTACCACTTTGGACAATTGATCACCTTAAACCAGCTATGCCAAATTTAACCATCATGACTAATGGTATCTCAAAGAGCTGGTTTTTACTAGGCACAAGGAGAAAGTGTATAACCTATATTTAAATTGTTAAAGATATGAATTGAAGGCACATTTTGTCCCCTGGTCAGTCTTTCGTGTTTTGTACAGTTAAACTTCTGATCATTAATAACTCGCATACAAAGCGACAAAACACCACAATTTTAATTTTTCTAATAACAGTGAAGTTACAATGACCAGGCGCTTATCTAATAATAAGGAAATGTCAGTTTTTTTGCATTTCCAGCAAGTTTTCTCGTCCTTTATAAAATCGTAGATAACGCGATTCATCATGCGTACATTTCTGCTCCTATCATTTTTGTCAAATGATTTTGATATTTTAATGCATAACAGACCCAAAGCTGAAGATGGCGTAATGATAACGATGAAATTTCTGAAGAAAATTGTACGATTTCTCCATGTGGTCTGCGGGGTGATGAACCTGAAGGTTTGGCCATTCATCATTTTGGTTCGCTATCCTGGCCGGTTTGATCTATCAGGAGGATTTCCGCATTTAGGAATTTTGCCATCTGTGGGGGTGTTTGCAGAGATAGAAAGACTAAAATTGTCGGTAACTACCTAAGTACTGAAGAGAATGGTGAAAATACTAGTAGGTACACAGATAAACGTTATGAGAAGGTTTAGCAACGTAAGTTCATACATTACAATGAATGGTAACGACCAAATTACAAATATTGGCAATCCTCGTATAAACCAGCCTAAATACTGCTCTCACGCGATCACTATTGTACACAATACTTTTGTCATTAAATTTATTTTATCTCGATCTCTTCCTGCCCAACGAGCTGATCTCAGGGATGTTTTCCAGTGTTTTCGGTTATTTTTGGCTTAAGTACTTCAAAAGAATACGTTATTGTACAAAATATTAACTAGTGGGGGGGGGTGGCCGCAACGGTTAACATGGCGCTCATCACTAAGGTAAAGGTCCCGGGTTCGAATCCAGCGGCACTGCATTCGAACCCGACATACGGGCTTTTTTTCTCAAAAACACCAGCACCCCTCTGATGTTGGGACCCCTCGTTAAAAAAATAAAAATAAAAAAAGCTATTATCCTAGCGTTTGGTACAAGTGAAACGAGAACACTAGATGATTGGAATAGTTGTACAATAGGAAGAATATTCTCAACTACTGCAGAAGAAAATCAGCCTCAGCGGAGTTGAACAATGCAAGAACTATGTACATTCAAATGAAAATAAATACCTATGAACCATTGTGAGAGTATAAGGAAATATCTTCCGGATGCTTGACCAAGATATTTCAAAGTCATTAATTTTTATGTAAGGTATTGGTTGAAATAAAAAAGCTAGTGTCACGAGCGGGATTCGAACCCATGACCTTTGGTTAAATACGCCGCTGCTCTACCACTTGAGCTATCGTGACGACTCAAGTGGTAGAGCAGCGGAGTATTTAACCGAAGGTCGTGGGTTCGAATCCCGCTCGTGACACTAGCTTTTTTACTTCAACCAATACCTTACATAAAGATTAATTAATTGGAAGAAGTTATTTGGTCAATTGGACCACGAAATATTATGGATATTTTAAAGTATTGATGTGTTTTGTCTTATAGAGTACCAACAGTATTTTCGTTTGGATTTCAGAACGAAGTGATTAACCATGCTACTGTTAAAATATTCATCTCCCAAATGAGTGTCTTCTCCTTCAGAACTTTGAAAATACCATCTTCGATTGCCTAAATGGACACGTCAAAAGTAAAAGCTCCAATATCGAAAATCTGGACGTTCCTTTCTCCGGTTTTCATCAACTTCTTGTAGAGACTATAAACGATGGCTGAAGCAGTCGGCTCATTGATAATGCGTTGGACGCTAAGACCATATTCTAGCATCTTTGGTAGCCTCTGATAATTGTTGAAGTGGCCAGGGATTGTCACTAGAGCGTTGGTAATTTTTTCTCTTAGGTAGGGTTCAGCAGTTTTGATCATTTTGGAGATAACCTATTTCCAAGGAGAAGAAAGTCTTATTCTCTCCTTTATGTAGGGCTTTAATTTTCGGTTCACAGCAGTCGCTGACGACTTAGGATTGCCAATGTTTCATCAGACTGAACAGTGAACTGTACCTTCCACGATTAAGGGTAGGCTATTGTCTCCAGTTCATCTCCGTCAGATCACGACGTGTCTATTGATAAAAATATCAAAACCAGCCTTCACACAACAATAATTGATAATATCCCTTCTCGTTTGTGTTTCTGCCTGAAAAACAGAAAAATCCGAATTTCCGTCCATACTCCACCTCTTATGACCATCAATCGGCATACCAGTATTATTTTCAATATTATATGACACAATTATTGATTGCATATGCATTCTTCTTCTCATGCAATTATATGAATGAGGTGCAGTTTCTTAATATAGAAGTAAGGTTGGTCCACATCACCTCTGAGTCCAAAACTGTGAGAACATGCAGCCTAGCATGTTAGGCAACGGCGAAACTACAGGTTCACCCTAAGGATCTCAAGAGGAGCCTCACCTTAATTAACAATCAAAATTAAAAGTCAAGGCAGTTAAATTCGTAACTATCTTACTAAAATATTTTGATATGAAAGTTCTTGTAAAGAACTAGGATATAGTTAAAATCGCACTGTATAAAAATCCTATTTTCAGTGCTAGAGATATCGATCACTGTTTCACTCACGAACACTCACCATGTGGCAGTAAAAACTGAATTTGTTTTTTTCCTCAAGATCACACCTCGATCCAGAGTGTTTTGTATAAAAATCCTGGCCGAAATATATTTAAAAAAGTGGATGTATTATTTATATGGCAATTTATTCGCATGGGCGGCGCTGGTGTTGGAAGAGCCGATTGCCTATGCGGACGAGAGTCGTCCTTGGTGCTATTGTTCGTGCCCGATTGTTCGTTCATGGTTCGCATTTGGAAAACTGCCATCTCGGTGCATCTACGCCTCTTGGAAACTTAATCGGCCGAAAACCGACTCGGGGAGGCTTGCACGCCGTCTCTGACGATTTGGAGCCAAGGAAGCACGATGAAAAGTGACCAGGATAGCCAAATAATTGGAGAAAATGTATTTGGAAATCATTTTGTCACATAAGAAATATCTTCCAGGTTAATTGTTTAAAGCGAATATTTATGCATCTACCCACTGCTTTCTTTACTCCTTATATCTACACATAATTTTGTACAGTTGCGAAACCCTTTTATTAATTTCACTAAATTATTCTCCGAAGACAGGGACCGTTATTTATTTAATTGTCATGCTCGAGTATGAACAGTCTAGGATTACATTGTTCAGAAAAATAATCCCCAAGTAAGCAAAAAGAAAGAACAATGACAAATCTTGGGTTTTCTCACGTAAAAGCGAAGAAAATAGGCTGAATAACAGGTCAAAACTTGAACCTAAATTCAACGTGCTACAGATTAAATCTTTTTTTCTTAATATTCAAAAGAAATGTGCTGAATTATAAAGGCTGTAATGAACTTGAACAGTTAGGTTATACTTTATTGTAAAACCATGAATTTTAAATTTGGAAACTTATTATCACATATTTTGATTTATGGTGATTATGGATAATATCATTATATTAAATAAAATATATCTCTAGTTCAGAAAAAATATTTGTATTATGCCAAAAGCTCAATCGTCGGTTTATTTACGTTGTATAAACTAAAATTCTAAAAATGCCATAAAAATATTTTCAATTTAGAATTTCCTATAAAATATTCGGTAGATCAAATTTTCAGAGTTAACAAATAAAGTGTCTGTCTCCTCGGCAAGGATAACTAATCAAGGATAATTTTCAGACAAGCCAATACTTTTTTCGTATATTTCAAACAGCACTAGAATTTTTCACTGTCCAGCAATGTTTCATGGTTGTTGGCACTATTCCTCTGTTTTAGAGTACCCAGAGCTAGCTCAGGCTAGAAATGACACATCAGAAGAAATCAGACATCAGACTGTAAAGAACAAACTAACACTACAAAACATTACTTGACCTATTTGGACGTACATGAAGTTGTGGGGGTACCTACAAGCCATCTAATATCCAACTAGTTAAAAGCGGTCCACTCAAAAGTCAGAACAATTTTCCAAATTCCTTACTACCCTTCAACCTATCTAGGCATGCATAGAACTGTAAGGTATCAAGCCATTTTATCCAACTAGTCAAAAGCAGTCCAGTCAAAAGACTCAGTTTTCCAGGTTCCTTATTACGTTCCAAAACTATCTGAGGCATGAATAGATCTGTAAGGTAAGCCATATAATATCCAACTAGTCAGATGAAATTAAAAGTCATCAGAAGAATTTTCAACGTTCCTTACCATGCATCGACCTTGGACGTACATTAATTGATGGTTAGGGATGGTTACACATGCGTGAGGTACCTCGAAGCCTTCTAATATCCAACTACCAAAAGGCCTCAGAAGCATTTTACAAATTCCTTACTACGCTTCAACCCAACTGGACATAGATAGT